CACGGGCAACTTCCAAGGCGCTGCTTTCCGGCAGCCAAGGGTAGATACGGCCCCAGCAGGCAGCAGCATTCTTCGTCCTGGAATGCTTCTGACAGAAGATGATGGCATTCCATGGAACCACACGCCTTCCAAATAAAACCGTTAGGCAATCCCCTTCTCTCTCACTTCCCTGTCCTGCTCACTTCTCCTCTGGTCCACTTGAAGAGCCACACCTTTGTTCGAGATACTTCTGGCAGGAGAGGAGCGGGAGGAAAGCTGCAGGAAAAGCCTCAGCCCACGACATTTCCACCCTGAGATCCAGTTTCCTCGTGGGAGTGGCTGAACGCCCTGGACGCTCAAACACCCGCACGCTGTCTGTACAGGCAACATGATCCCAACGCGTGTGGAACCAACCCTGCTGCCAGCAACAGCCACCGACCTTACCTTACAAATATTCACACTAATTCAGGAGACTGGGCACACAGTCTGACCGACTTGTGCTGTCTGCCTGCTTTCCTTAAAATCCCAGGTGTTTGTACTGGGAGCTTTTAGCGGGGGAACAGCCTGATTCGGGACCCCAGAGCAAGCATGCTAACTTAATTAACGCCAGAGTACATCATTCCTGAAAGTAAGTATTCAAAATTCTAAGCAGAACAGATCATATTCCAAGATTAGCTGCTAACATCATTTCCCGAGGTCAGCTCATGCCAAGGGAGAGCGAGCTCAGCCATATAAAGCTCTCGAACCACATCAGAACAAATGGCAGCACCGGCAGCAATCCGCTCACTGCAAGGGCAGGTAGATGCATGCTGGCTGCTCCGAGAGGCAGCAACCAGACCATGCAAAATCTTTCAAATCAGTTCTGCGTCTCTGTAATACGTAAGGTGCATTAAAAGGTTTTGCTGTTCGTAAAAATGATGTGCTCATTTGGTATCTGTGTACACTAAATTTGGATACTCCACATTAAATGACCAATGCACTGGAAAGCACCAGCAAGTTATCTTCTCACCTACACATTTCACTATTTAAACTGCATTTGCTGGAGCGAAAAAAGGAGGACAAGACAGCCCCCACCCTCAGATATTAATGTTATAAGACAGCAGCGCGGTGTGGAATTGCAGTCGGTGGGCTGGCCTGGATGCGCTCGTGATCCCAGCCAAAACAAAAAGCAAAACTCGAACAAGTTAAAGGGTAGAAGAAGCTGGATCTTTGAAGGCGCTGCCGGGAGGGCACGGCTGGGACAGCCCTCTGCCAAGGACAAGGATGGCTCTGAGGAGTGGAGCCTGCCGAGACTGACGCAGTTGCA